AGGTGAGCCGCTTCATCTATATAATTGTCAACATTATTGTTCTAAGCAATTGAATTACCCCACTTTCTGAAACTAAAATAAAAGTCATATTTAATACTTTATACTAATATAGACTTAAAACTAATTTTACTCATTTATAATTCACATTCTCTAATAAGTCTAAAAGTTCTCTGATAAAATACATATCCATTAACATTCCAAGTCTATTCTTCAAATTCTTGTAAAAGTTTGCAAAAAAAATATTTGCAGATATTTTATCATTCATAGACGTGACTTATACTAAGGGAGTTCACTGTTTATAATTTATTTGCAATTAATCTTACAAATATAGGTTCTTCTAATATTATATAGAATTAAAGTTTATCAATTTTTAGAATTATGAGATTCAAAATTCTATATAAATAGTTCAATTCTGATGATTATCTAATTGAGCTTACATGATTAATTTTTTTTTTAAATATCAGTCACTGAAAAATGTCACACACAGATTATTTTTATAATAAATTAATTTTGTATAATGATAATCCGCTCACTTCATTTTGTAATTAATTGTCAAATTTCTAATATACTATGTGTGTATAAATTATAAAATCTATAGATCATTATCTGTTCTATTAGTTTTTACTATTATTTTTTTATTTTAGTAATATTTTTTTTTTATATTTTACATAAAACTCTTATAAAAATAAGCTTTTTTTGAGATTGAATTTGAAAATAGATAAAATAAAACTTTTAGCAATAGTAATATGCAAATTACAAGAATAAAAAGTTTTTCTAAGTTTATAATGGTGGCTAATTAGGTAAATTTTTACGTAAAATGTAAGAAATCAAATTTTTACTATAATATTCATAATAAAAGCCTTTTTAAAGATAAAGATAAAAAAAAATCACAAAACTCTTTTTTTATTAATTATTAGTATATTTTTATATTTACGACTCTTTTAAATTATTACTTGTAATATTATTATGCTTATGCTAATTTTACTAATTTTCTCTTTAGACAGTTTGAAAATTATTTTTGGTAATTTGAGAGGTCTTATTCTTTCAGCTTGGAATTTTTTGGCTAAGATAGTTTTGTATAATGATTTTTGATTCTTAATAGTAAATACTTAATCACTGATTTACTTTTTATTATAATGCAAATAAACTATACTTGACAATTATGTGATTATGTTTCAAATTTTTATCTTAATCTTATGTTATGTGATTTGAGATTGACTAATAAAAAACAAGAATTTTTGTACAATAAAAATTAATTTTTTATTATATGCACATATAATTTCGTGTCAAATTCATGAAAAGATGAAAAAATTATTTATTAATAAAGTAAAGCTATAATTTAATTAATTTATTAATCCATTAATCTTTCAACGTTTTCAGGCAATCGTTGATATGATTTATATTTATTGACAACTTATTCAGCAGTTTTACCCTCCAGTCCTTTATTGTATGTATCTATATACCTTCATAACTTATGTGCAAACTTACAAATAGATGTTATAGGGATACTAATAAGAACTTCTGAAACTTTTTTCATTAAATTTGCAAAACTATAACTGTAAAGTCGTCTGGTCTCTCATTTTACAAAACTTCAGTATCGCTCTATAAAGTTATAATTACAATGAAATTTTGGGTAACATTTAAAAATATGTTCTGCTTTGATTATTGCTTCTTTTAATATTGACCATTGTTCTTGAAAATTAGGTTGCAATAATATTATTTTTCATGCATAACAGTTTAACCTCTCTGAATTGGCATTATCATGTTTCTCAGAATATTGCTTGCATGTTAGGCGGATTTCGTTTGCTGGTCAAAGATTGTGTTCTTTGAGTATTTGCTTGATACCCTTTGGTTGTTCTTTCAGTTGATGATTATCTAAAAATATCATTGACTGTACATATTTCTCATCATATTCATTAATATATCAACTATTACGCATCTTAGATTATATTCCTCTAGAACCTAAATTCATTTTTGTTGCAACAAGTGCATTAGCTACCATAACATTATGATTTATTAATTGATCAAAGCAAAAAATACCAACACTCTCAGGATGTAATATTTTGAATATAGGGATTGCTTGATGTACAAGCTAAGTAATAAGAAATTTTAATAATTTTTCTCTTAAATTTTACAATTCAATCTAGATCTATGAATAAGAAAAAATTCAAACCTGGTCTAACATATGTTCTGACTTCCAATACCCATCTGTTTATATAAATTAAAGAATAAAAGATTTTTTATTTCTAATATGTGGATTTGCTTGTAATTGTTTATTGAATAATTGTAACAATCTATGACATAGACAAAAAAAAGCTAAAACTATAATAGAACGTTCAATATATTTTGAATGTACAGCTCGAGACCCTAGTCACAGCAAATTTAGTATCCACTTTTTAAAATGTATCTACTCTCTAAAAAATAAAGTTATTTCTAAAGTACCATTGTACTTTAATGTATTTTATCTTTAGCTTTCAAATTACGATGAGATTTTTTAAATACAATCACCCCTTAAAAAGCTATTGTCAAATCTCCAGATGAAAAATTTTCTTAATTGTACATAGTAGATTTTTAAAATTTAGCACTAATAATATTTTCACATCTATTGCTTAAATGAGCTAAAAAATCATTTTTCTGAACTTAATTTTTTTTTGGAATTTTGTTATGCCACCACTTTCAAAACGTGAAAAACAAATAAAAAGTTTAGCGAAAGATAAACGAAAAAAAAATCAAAACTTTACTGTGCCTTTAGAAAATTCAGATATTGATGATAATTTGGAGTGGAAAAATGAGGAAGAAGTCATATGGAGAGACGATGAGTTGGATGAAAAGGCTGAAACTTTTGTTAAAGTTTTATTAAATAGAATGAAAAACTATGTGCCTCCTTTCTGAAAATCTGTTTATATTGAAAATTCCATTCGAACAAAAAAAAGAAAAAGAGCACAAGCTAAAAAACTTTTGGCTAAAAATGGTCAACCAATAACGAATTTTTTTAACCCATTTCAACTCCAACCTCATGCACTTAATGATCCCAATAAATCTGATCAGAAATCAAATCAATCTGATAATCAGGAATCTGAACATGAAGATCATTGCGAATATGGACAATTAATTAAATCTGTTGAAAAGGAATTAAAGCAAAGCAATCTTGATGGTGGTTATAAGCTAAGATTAATTGCTTTGTTGCAGTATCTAATGCTTGTTAACCATAAAGAGCCAAAAATTAAAGCAAGCCTCTGTATTGCACGGCAATTAAATAAAGGATCATATTTTGCACGTTGTCTTAGAGTATGGGAAAAATTAATAAGGAATGGTGAGACCATTCCAATTTCTAAATGGGAAAAACATTGCAAAATTCAAAGTTTACTTAATGACAAAGATATTCAAATTCAGATAGTAACATATTTACGTGAAAATAAATTTGAATTTTATATGGCTGATTTCATTGATTATATAAAGAATATTGTTTTCCGTCACTTGGAATTAAACAGGAAACAACAATAAGGTTTGAATTAAATAATTTATTTTACCAAGTGAAAATTTAATTAAATTCTTGAATTTAACACAAAAACTGCAAGAAAATGGCTTAAGAAAATTGGATTTGAGTTTAAACGATTTACTAAAGGTATTTATGTTGATGGCCATGAAAGTCCCAATGTAATTGAATATAGGTTAAAGTTTCTGAAACAAATGGCAAGGTAAAAACTTTTTAGTGGTTTTTTTATTTTAAAATAAATTCTTTTTTAATTGAATTGATTTTTATTAATCCAGTTATGAAAAATTAATGCCGAAATTTGATGATAATAATTTGGAAATTCAAATTAATCCTGATTTGCAAGAGAATGAACATTTGCATATTCTGGTAACGCATGACGAAACCACTTTTCATTCTAATGATGGAAGGCAATCTGGATGGGCACTACATGGAGAACAACCTCTTCGCAAAAAAGGAAGAGGAAGAGCTATTCATATTAGTGACTTTTTATGTGAAACAGTTAGATGATTACAATTAAATGAAGAACAAAAACTTTCAAAAAGTGCAAACAATATTCCATACGAAGCTAGAGTAATTATGAACCCAGGAATAAATAATGATAGTTGGTGGAACATCGAATTATTAGTTCAACAGGTAATTTGTTTCATTTTACTTTATTTTAATTATTTTTTTATTAACTTAATTTATTGGTTTCATAGGTTGTTGATCGTGCAATTCCAATATTTGAAATAACTCATCCCGGAGCTATTGCAATTTTCGTGTTTGATAATTCCACTTCTCATAATGCATTTAACTCTGATGCTCTTATTGTAAACTGTATGAATGTGGGATCAGGTGGAAAACAACTAAAAATGAGGAATACTGTCTTTAATGGTCAAGTCCAATTTATGAATTTTCCTGATGATTTTTCTGAAGAATCTCTTCGTGAAAAACCAAAAGGAATGAAACAAATTTTACATGAACGTAAATTATTAAGACTAGGTATAAAAGGCTTTGTAAAAATAAGAATTCATTGGATAATCAATGCTGTATACAACATATATTAGAAAATCAACCTGATTTTCTTGCTCAAAAATATATGATTCAAGAAATTATTGAACACAAAGGTCATAAAGTGATTTTTTATCCAAAATTTCATTGTGAACTTAATTACATTGAAATGTATTGGGGAGCTGCAAAACGTTATTCAAGAAATAATTTTGACTATACATAGAATGGATTGCAGCAAGTTGTTCCTATTGCGTTAAATCAAGTTTCTTTATTAGAAATAAGAGCATTTGCTAGAAAATCTTATAGATATATAGATGCATATAGAAATGGATTAAATGTAAAGCAAGCAGAATATGCTGTGAAAAAGTATAAAAGACATTGCATAATTCCCAATAACATACTTCATGATATTTTAATAAATTTTTAATTTTTCTAAAGTTGGCCAAAATTATAATAAATTCTTAATGCTAGCCAGAATCACGTGATTTTTTTAAAAAATAAATTTGGCACCTAATATTGAAAGTTGCTGCGACTAGGGGTCTCGAGCTGTAAAATATTCTCATCTTTTTCTATCTAAATTTTTTGTTATTCATCATTTGTATAAAAGTAACATTTGTCATGTATCACTTGCACTAATTCTTTCTTTCCTAATTCAAGTTGAGGCTCTAAAATGACATCTAACATATTACCATCAAAGTCTTTCATACATTTCTTATATTCAAATATTCTAATCAACCATTCTTTCCTATACTCTACCATATTTGATCTCTCGTATCCATCATAATAACTCCCTTTTTTTCATTATACTTGTATTCTCACTTATATATGTAATTTTGACAGATTTTCTCAGAAATCGTATCTTTTTTGATATGTCCTGTTAATTTTGGAAACACTGTTTCTTTAATATAAGTTTTTAGATATTTAGGAAAACGTGACTTTAGCGCTTACTATGTAACTATATAAGGCATTCTTCCTTAAAATTTTTATTATCTGCTAAGTTTTCTAATTTTGTGTGTTTTTTCTTGATAGTAAATAATAAGTTCTCCTGTTTGTATATAGTGAGTTTCCCATTTCTGAATATATCTTACTATACAGTTCCTTTTATTCCATATGATTTGTGCAATATTATTGCTAGTATTTATTTTATCTTGTCCATCTAATAAAAGCTAAATGAACCTGCAAATATTTAGATATTGTAAATAATTATAGATAAGGATTTCAGACTTTGATACAATACATTGCTAATCTATTTCTTTTAAACGTGTATGCAAATTATCAATGGAAAATAGAAAAATTTCTGAAAGTGGAAATGGTGATGGTAATGATGAAAATGAAAATAATCATGGTAGGGATGATTGTGATAGTTATCGTGATGAATGCAAAATTTCAGAACTTTTAAAAAATGTGTCAAGAGTTCTCATTTCTTTTACATCATCATCTAATTTTTTTTTTCTCTTTCTCTATATTGTAGTTCTTAAATTTCCAGTATATACTGCTCTGATACTACAACCAGTATCTTTACGTCAACAAAAAACTTCAGAGATAAGCCTTTTCTCTACTTCATTAAACTTTTTTAATTCTTCTTCTGTTTAATAGATAGTTTCATTCTCCGACTATTCTTCAACAATTTAATTTTTATTTTCAATAATTTCTATCTCTTCTATGATAGTTTTAACTTAATTTTAAAATACATAATATCCTTTTTTTTAGGTATTTTGCTAACTTATTTTTGGCGTTTTGTTTTATGTAACATTAATAAAGAGGCTTATCATAAGCCGATGGGTCCAATTTTCTCATTAACATGTGAAGATTTTGTCAAAAAGTAAAAGGATTTTCTCATGATCAGATGAATGTAACAATTCAGGTTAGCATTAAATTATCATAATTTTAGCACAAATTATAAAAATTTTGACCAATAATATCACTTTCACTGATTTGATTTGTTTCAAATATGAGCTAATCATATAAAAATCAATCAAATTTAAATGCTTATAATTTTTTATGTAGACCTTTTTTTGAAAATCTAACCAGTAATTTGATAGTATATATCTTAAAAAATAAAATTACCAATTTATTTTTCTTTAAAATTTATTTTTAAATTTTTAAAAAATTTTGAAGTATTACAATTTTATTGTTGAGTATAATTTACTTGTACCATAGCATTTGCATATGAAAAATTTTCTTGAATACTGACGAACATATGAGAATATTAAGGTCTATATTATTCAGGTTTAAAATGATCATATAAAAGTTTATAAGGATTAGATAAACTCCTTTTAAAGTAATCTTTGATTTCATAATCTGCATTTTCTATAATGTTTAACAGCTAGATCCATCTAATATAATATGTTACCTTTGAATTTATATTGTTGAGCGATGGCTGTATACATTTCTTCTGAGGATGCAAAATTAATAAATACGTATAGCTTTAAATGATATTATGTGTCACAAGGAATGAAGCAAGATTTAGCTTTGATGTTAGTTAAAAAATTATACAAGAATCTTTGAAATGTATTAAGAAATAGACCAGTAAACTTAAGTTCAAATTGTTAATGAAGAGTAGTTTATATAGGGTTTAAATTAGTTAGTTCAATTCTGAATGCAAATATAAAAGATTTTAATTGCATTACTATATTCATATATGATAAAGGCAATTTGTTAGGATCCTTTGATAATCATAAAAAAGCGGATGATTATACCAAATTTATAAAAGAAGTTTCTAACTGTATCAGATTTAAGAAAAAGGAGAATGTTTGATACTTTGATTATGTAACCTTTTTTAACATCAATTTTCACATTATTTAATGCTATTAACTTCATTTATTTATAGTATATATTACTAATTATAATATTCTTTTATTATTTATATTATATTAAAAAGTTTTTTATTATTATAAAATATTTGTATTTTATTGTTTTAATATATATTTTATTTAATAAATAAATAAATTTTAAATTGTACAGTCAACTCTTGTTATAACGAACTCTATGTCCTAAACCTCAACTTTGCTATAAGGCTATAGTGAAGAGTTTAAGAGATTTGATTGGCTAATTCGCTATAACAAGAGTATTTTTATTATATTTATTCAAAAAATTCATTATATCAAGAGTTCGCTATATCAAGGGTTGACTGTATAAAGTATAAATTTAGATAATATTATAATAAATTAATTATATAAAATATGTACTGTATGCATTATATACTTTTATGTATTACATATTATTAATATGTAAATTACTATAATATTATATTACATATCTTAAATTTTTAAAAGTTTACATATTGTAAACCTTTAAATTATTATGTATTATAAACTTATAAGGTATAAGATTTTGAAATATTTCATCTTGTAAAGTAACAAAGTATTCCATTTTGTAAGGTTTTAAAGTATTTTATCTTATAAGGTAATGAAGTATTTCATTTTATAAGGTTTTAAAGTATTTCATCTTATAAGGTAATAGATATTATATTTTGTAAGGTTTTGATAACCCTGTAGCCTTATGTAAAACTTACAAAATGTAAGGTTATGTAACCTTATATCTATCAAATTTTTTTGATATTATAATATGTCACATTTTACCTGCCCTATACAAGGTATCTGAATATTTTTACTTATAACTGTATATAAATATTCTTTATAATTAGAACTAACTAAAAAAAAAAATTTATTCTTTTTACAAAATAAATATCTAAGATTATGAATAATACTTTCAGTGTAATCTTTTATTTGTTTTAAATTTAATAAATGCAATTGATTTTGATCATATAGAAAATGTGTATAACAAACTTCAAAATTCTCAATTAAAAATTTTTTTGCTTTAACTTTTTTTTCATTTGCCATAATCATCTTAATTTTGTTTTAGAATTATATCATTAAATCTTACTATATAGTACGTCAATTATAATATATAGATTTAATTTTTTATCATTTTTTATTATATTAATTATTTCATCACATTCTTCTTCAGATTCTGTTTTAGAAAAATTACTTTCTACATCACTTATATCTTCCCAATT